GCTCAGCCCACCAGGGGGCGCAGCTGGCTGGCATGTGGTGCTGGGGGATCGAACCGTGGTCCCTGTACTTTGCCAAGCTTGTTCTAAGTAGGTGCTTTAGACCACTGAGCCATCTCTCCAGCCCCTAACCTTTTCTTTTCTTCTTTTTTTTTTTTTTTCTTCCAGAACTGGGGATTGAATTCAGACCCTTGTGCTTGCCAGAGAAGCAATTATTGTACTGAGCCATCTCCCCTGCCCAAATATACCAAATATTTTAGCACCTAATTTTGACCGTATTTTAAGGGGGAAAAAAAAAAAACCTGAAGCTGTGTTGTAATTGCTTGTATTTATTTCAGCCTGAAAAATATACTAACAGCTGTGGGGAAGAGGGAGGCATTGGGGTGACCACAGTATATGGGAAATGTGTTTCACACTAAATTATGCATCTAAACCTAAGTAATTAACAGAAATTTGGATTTCTTATTAAAGATCCCAAGTCTCAACATGTACTTCTACATTCTGTTATATCTATCTAACAAAACATAATGTGTTTTGGTTGTAAAATAATTTACTAAAGGCACTACTGTTAAACATCAAACTAGTACCTTGTTGCTGATAAGGTACATCATTGTAAACGTAACAGTGCTCAGAGACTCAGGGCTAGCAGGCAAGCACACATTTCCCCTTCAGTAAGCACCTCCTTACTGACAGGTCAGCCTGGCAGCTTTCTGGGCAGTGACCCCACACTCCCAGCACTTATCTGAGAAAGGAGAGGACTGGTGAGTGCTAACGAAGATGCTAGGAAGGCTCAAAGTCTTCACTCGGGGTCTTTTTAAATCCTAGGTTGAGAAAACAATACATCCGGGCATAAACTCCTAAGCTCTGCCCTTTGTTTTTTTTGGCAGAACTGGGGATTGAACTCCGACCCTTGCGCTTGCCGGAGAAGCACTTACTCTGCTGAGCCATTTCCCCGGCCCCAAGCTCTGCAATTTGTACAGCATCATAGAAAATGGACAGAGTATTCCAAGGGAACTCTTGGACATTAGCACCATAATAAACCGCTCAGACAACTAAAATCTAGATTGTTTTCCCCAGACAGTAACACTCATTACAGCTCTAATGCAGAAAAACTAGCTCTTGAATGGAACAAATGATTTAGATACATACAGAGGTTTCTCTTGAGAAAAACAATACGAAACTAAACCGTATCCTGAGGCAATAAAATCTCATCATGCTAAAGTATACACAAATTAAGGCTTTACCTTGGCACATGACAGTTGAGAAGCTATGTTGGAGTGTTCCTGACAGATCATATATTGAAGCAATAGAAGAATCACGAATGGGGCCGAGTCAGGCTAGTCAGCACTCGCACCTGTACACCACACTGCTCGATACAGCTGCCCTCGGGAGCCAAGCTGACCCACAGCGAGTACGGGCACTCGAGTGACAAAACCTTGGACTGTCAATCTAACTTTCCTAACTACAAGCTTGAAACGGAAAGTTTGCCCGTTTTACTTTGCTTTTGTGGCTTTAAAAAAAACTCTTTTGGTCTTTTAAGAGTACATTTCCTAACAGATACCTCTGCTGAGCAAAGGGTCAAAATGTTGGAATTTGTACATTAAACTTTCTCAGATTTTGCATAATGTTCTAAGTCATTTTTCAGTATATCCAATGTTCGGAGAAAAATGAAAAAGATACTACTAAGTTCTATAAAGAAAGTCAAAATATTCCTAAAGCTCTTACATTCATTTAAGAATAGGCGATTATCCATTTCATGCACAGGAAGATCTTATATCAGCTACTATGTCAGAATGTGTCCACATAAGGCATCTATAGTCCAGATAAAAGCCTATATGGGTAGTTACTTCCTACTTACAATTATAACCACAGACATTAAAATGTAGCTCTCAGATCTGAAAATGTCTTTATTTTTTAGAAAATGAATTCCAGGAAGGTTAAAAAGCAATACCAGAGGACACAGGTGCAGAAGTGGATGTGGTCAGTCATTCAAAGCATTCAAGTAAGAATATGGCAATATAAATATCCAAAAAGCATGACTTGGGTGTTCCAAACAAAACGTTTAAGTCATTCCTAACTAACTTGAGCATTTCCTAGACAGGGAGGAAACAGTTAACATTTAGAGTTCTGAAAGTGTTCTCCTTGGTTAATTACATGAGACGGATTGTTTGCCTTTGATCGAAATCAAATTCTTTTAAACATGGATAAAGTATTACACAGGTCCACTGTTAAAACAGACATGTTGTAAGTTAATCCTGGTATAATTTTTCCAACAAAGCTTAGAAAATAAAGATGTTGAGGTGGCTTTGGACTGTTTAGTAGTCCTCTCCTCTGCTGACAACTTCTTTACAAGTCGGACGCAGCAGGATGGTATGTTCAAACTGCGCTGTGTATGACCCTTTAATGTCACATAGTGGTGGGTATGGGTCTACGATGCCCAAG